AGTCTGGTTTTAGTACTATTTTGATTTTAACTGCCAACTGTTTTGGCATTAACCTGGGCACCTCTAACTAGAATGCTAACAAACACTGGTAAAGTGTTTTAACTCCTGGAGGCATGAAAGGGAATAGAACAGGTACAAACCTCTCTGAAGTGTGTTTCTTGAAACACAAACTTTGCCCAATACTATAACAACTTGTTTGTAGTATTTGACAGAGGACAGCCAGGTTAGAAATTAGAGTTTGAAAATCCTTAGAATACACATAGAACATGCTGAGGTGAAGGGGATTATCAAAGTCCCAACTCCTGGCCCTGCACAGGACACACCATGTGCCTGACAGCATTGCCCAGACACTTCTTGAACTTTGTTATACTGGTGCTGTGACCACTTCCCTGAGGAGCTGTTTCAGTACCCAAACACCCTCTGGCTGTTTGAATATCCAACCTAAACCACCCCTGACACAGCTTTAGGCCATTCCCTCAGGTCCTGTCACTGATCACAGAGATCTGTGCCTGCCCCCCTCCTCTTCCCCTCGTAAGTTGTAGATTGTGATGAAGTCTTGTTTCTGTCTCCTCCAGGCTGAACAGACCAAGTGACCTCTGCCATTCCTCATACAACCTCCCCTCAAGGCCCTTCACCATCCTCACTGCCCTCCTTTGGACACTCTTTAACAGTTTCATGTCTCATATTGTGACACTCCAAACCAGCCCCCAGCACTCGAGGTGAGGCTGCCCCAGCTCAGAGCAGAGCAGGACAATCCCCTCCCCTGCCTGGCAATGCTGTGCCTGGTGCCCCCCAGGACAGGGCTGGCCCTCCTGGCTGACAGGGTGCTGCTGACTCCTGTTCAACTTGCCATCAACCAGGACTCCCAGGTACCTTTCCATGGCCCTGCTTTCCAGCATCTCATTCCCAGTCTGTCCATACATGCAGGGTTGCCCCATCCCTGGTGCATCTCAGAATCTGGCACTTTCCCTTGATGAACTTCGTGTTTGTTGACTGCCCAGCCTTCCCACTTTATGAAGGTCTCTCTGCAGGATCTCCCTGCCCTTGAGGGAGTCAACAGCTTCTCCCAGTTTAATACCACTGGCAAACTTACACAGTATCTCTTCAACTCCTGCATCCAGATTGTTAACAGGCGATGAAGAGCACAGGGCCAAAGATGGAGCCCTTTAGAACCCCAACAGTGACCAGTCTGCTGCCGAAATCCCCTGTGCCCAACCCATGAGCCAGTTGCTCACAAGGCATTTATTGTCTTGTGCACAGGACTTTTTTTATTGAGGAAGATACTGTGAAAGTATTGAAAGCTACTGAAATGCTAAAAGATTACATGTTCTGGCTCCCCTTGACTACCTACGTGTGTTACTTTGTCATAAAAGGAAATAAGGTTTCATAAGCAGGACTTTCCAGTCATGAAGGTGTGCTGGTTCTGACTGAAACCTACAATGTCCTTCAGGTGTTTTCAGGAACTCAAAGAATAATCTCCTCCACAATTTTACCAGTCACTGAAATGAGACTGACAGGTCTGTAGTTTTCAGGGTCATCCTTCTTGCCATTCTTGAAAACTGGAACAATTTTAGCCAGATTTCAATTGACTGGGACCTCTCCAAATTCCCAAAATCATAAAAAAATCATTGAGACCTTGCAGTGACATCAGACAGCTCTTTTGAGTACTCTTGGACGAATCCCATCAAGCCCCAAACACTTACAAGGGATCCACCAGATCCTGCACAAGTTCAGGGTCCACTAGGAGCTGATCATTCTCAGAGTCCTGGTCCTCCAGCTCAGGACACTGAGACCCTCATGCCCCATAACCCATGTTGAAGAGAAAGGCAAAGAAAGCAGTATCATCTCTGACTTGTCTGTGTCCCTGATGGTGAGGTGACCATCCTCATCCTGTAGGTGAGGGCCAATGTCTTTTCTGCACTGCCTTTTGCTATTGATATATTAAAAAACCCACCCTCTTTTTATTGTGCCCACAGTTCTGGAAAGCTTCAACCCCAGCTGAGCTTTGATCACATGAATGTTCTTCCTACAGCAGGGAGCACCATCTCATGCTCACATGCATGTCCCCTGTCCTTGCTTCACCAAGCACACACCTTCTTGGTCTGCCTGGACTTGAAAAGAATATCCCTACTCGGCTAACCTGGCCTCCTGCTTTGCCAGGTTGGCTTCTGACATTGTGAGGTTGCTCGCTCCTGTGTTTCAGATCTTGAAGACAATACCTGAAGTTAAACCTGCAAGTTCAATGACCATGGCAGCTCCAATATGAAACTGTCTTTGGCAAACAGCCGCAATGACTGGCCTCCATAGACTGTGACTTCTGGCAATCTAGCACTTCACAACAGACTGATATTAAGGGGAATGACTGACATGGCTGTACAGCTTGACTATCAGATAAGCAGCATTCCCATTTAGCTTACAAATAGAGGTTAGCCACTATATGCTGGACTTCGTGGATTTCCACATTCCAGCTAGTCATAAGATGTACTTTATTCAAACCTCAATAAACTCAACCCAGTTTTACCTTTGAAAGTATTTCTGTAAAGATGTTACTGGAAATCCTCACATAAAACATTTCTCATTTTCTACCATCCCTTTTTATCAAACCTTATACCAAAAAAAAAAAGGTACTGTATATTTGACAAGGATGCTGAATTGCCAAATCCACCTAGTTTTCACACAAGTATTGATAAGGTAACTAATCTGTCGCAACTGTTTCAGAGATAATGGAGCACCTTGCCACTGCTTCAGAGTTAGCTGACATTGGGCGCAGAGATGAAGGTCCTGATTGTGTGATGCAATCACTCTGTCCATACAGCCGCTTGGGTTTTTGCTGCCTAAATGTACTGACCATTTGCAAACCAGAAATAACCTAAATAACCTGACATAATTGTAGAATGGGTCATCTCACCTTCCAAGATGCCTGAATGGCCCTAAACTGTGTCTCTTGAAAGATACAAACATAAGAGCTGAGACTGACTGGGCAGTCACTTAAAGTCTTACGAGGAATAAGGCTGATTCTTTCTTAAGAAAAAAAAAACCACAGCTGTGCACAAAATTTAAGCAGAGTTAACTTCAACAATAGCATCCCCACTTCAAGAATGGGTTTACTACAGCTTAAAATATTGTGCAGCCCTGTAGAGTTGTTCATCATTCAAGTACATAGGGGACTTTTGCGGTAACATTACGAGTGCCTGGATAGCACTGAGAAATGCTATAGCACTGTTTATATGAATTATGTTTTGCTTCGGAACTTCGTATTACCAAAAAATAAGAGGGACCTCTCCTCTTCCTCAATACAAGAAACAGTGTTCTGTATCACCTTGTCAGCAAGGCATAAACTTTCATTAGGGAGAGAATCTGCAAGACATTTGGGAAGTTTGAAATAATTTGTAAAGGATCATACTGTTTAATCACTGAGTGTTTAATTAAAAAAAAATCAAATCCAAAAGCCAACCACAGATTCAGGTTAATGTTTTTGAGATTCAACTAGCAACACACAGACAAGAGATTACTAAAAGTAACTTTTTCTCATTTTTTGTCATGAAGTAATAAACCTGCTTGGAAGTTTTCATCATCAAAACACTCACAGCATTTAATAAGTTGCTAAAAAAAAATATCCAGCTGGTGTCATAGAGATTTAGCTACAAATGGGCATTGTATGGAATGCTGGATTTCACTCAGAGGACTCAGTCATAAAGACTTATCAAATCTAGACCAGACCAAGTTGTTCTGTGACAACTTCTGGGATCTTTAGAACCTATGACTTAGTGTAACCTACTTTGTTCCATTTGTCATTAAAGATGCATCACTGAATACGAAAGAGGACCACGTCATACAAACAGCAAGCTTCTAATACGATTCTTCTCTGTTTTGTAGTTAAGCACTGAAAGCTCTCAACTCCCACACACAGACTGTGGCTAGTTTCTCTCTGCCTTACTGGAAGTATGGGACTGACCCACTAAAATTTCTTAATCTGCAGGGACACCAATTTTGAAATATATTTGATCTTAACTTTTAATTAAGAAGATAAATGGGTTGTGTAAAAGACAGCATATTTGAGGCAAATTAATTTAATGAAAAAGTAAACTCACATTTTGCCACTCCCTTCTCTCTGGCTAAAGAAAAAAAAATGCCCCCACAAAAAAAAACCTGATTGCTGCTTTAGAACTCAAGCTAGTTCTCTATATGATCCCTTATCCAATACTGAAGAGGACTGGGAAGCTGGTATATTTGTGGGAGACAGCTGAAAGAGGAGATAGAGGAAACATGAGGAGTAGCAACTTGTGAGGCAAATTCTGAAGTTGCAATCAGAGCTGTATAGTAGAGGATCTTTAAAGCAGCTGCTGCAGCACCACGAAGCAGCCCAGCCCCAGCAGCTGGACTTGTCACAGTTGCAATGGGCAGGACACTCTTATTTTCTGCAGGTTCCGGAAGGATAAGAGAACTATCACCACCTGCTTTTACAAGTGATTGGTTCATTGCAATACACAGGCTAACAGCTGGCTGGTTTACAAGAGAGGAAAAAAAAAACTCACTTTCTTTTTTACTTTTTCCTAAAAAACCCCATGGATTTATATTCAAATTACTTAATACACCACTAGATATGGGACTGATGAATGGAGTCCTGCAAGTGCTTCAGATACCTTTGTTTCAAGACATCTAAGACAATCAAATCAGCACTGGCAAAATCGGCAGTTACAGGACTCCAGCAGGATTCAGTTTGTCACTTTTCTGTATGTGGATTGTCAGAGCAGGCCGTCTTCCACCAGCCAGAACTGGCTGGTTTTCAAAAAAAAAGCAGTTAGCACTAACTTTCCTAAAACAAAGACGACCACTAACATACTCTTAATTCCAGAAGACTTCAAAAAAAAGGATATCCTGTCTTGACAAAGTTTCAGTTTAACAAGAGACTTACAGGAACTACAAATCTGCCACATTTTAATTTTAAAAATCCATTACATTACAATCAAAATAAAAAGGTGCACAATGAACACTGCATACACTGTAAACAGTTGGCAAATTTATTTATGAGGCAGGCTACAATTCATTAATGGTGAAATGTAGTTTCCTCTCTACAGAATCAGTCCTCAGAGTCAGAAACCAGGGACAGCAAAAGCCTTCAGATGCAAGCTTTCATTTGTAGGAAAGACCCAAGAGTTTAACCAGCATTCTGAGCTTCTCTTTCAGAAAGTGTTCTCCTCCCTACAAATTCAGTGCCATCCATCCTTGTTCAAATATGGCAACTGCCAGTTTTCAAGGTAAGATATATACAGACTGTTATAAATGAAAAATAGCCAATTTTAATAAAAATAAAAAATAAAAATTTATTTCACAACCGTAATACAGTCTCGACAGCCACCAACCAAATCGGACAGCGTACCACCCCCAGAAGGTGATGCGGGAGAATGTGGGATACGGCCTCGCTAGCACCAAATCCGCCCCGTCCACCCCGGCTGCTTCGAGGCAGCAGTTCTTATACAGTTTATTTCGCCCGCAGCAGGATGTCTTTGTTTCTTTCTGAGTTCTTCATATTCAAGTTGGTTTCTTTCTCTGCCTCGGGTTCGGCTGCACAAAGCCTCCATCTGGGAATAGAATAATACGCTTCTCCAGTTCCCGGAAGCTGGCATTCAGATGGAAGGTTGATGGCCCTGGTCATCTCAGATAGGCATCGTGTCTGGGCCATCATCACCTGGGCGCAGCTGGGCGTAGGTTCTTGCGAATGCCCATCTCCTGTGCAGCCGGAGTTTCCTTCGAATGCAAATGTGGTGGTGCCTCCCCGTCCATCTGCCGTGGTTTCGCCATCCCGCCTTGTACACCAGTGGTTTATTTTATACGTATATATTTTGATACACCTTTTATTCCCACGAATTACTACTCATAACACAGACCATGTTCTTATCCACAGAGGTTTACACAGCCTTGGATGCACAGAGCTTCTCAAAATCATGGTTTATTTTGCCAGGTATTCTTAAACATCCATATTTTACACTCCATAGCATCCAAACTACTGGAATGTTGTAAAAGTGTATTACATTTTTGCACGCCAACTTATCTGTAAAATCATACTTACTTACTCAGAAAACACACCAGATAATCTTCAAGTGCAAAGGGCTCCTTCCAGCTCATGGGAGAGGATTACATGCCTAACCTGAAACCCAGCAGTACGCTCAAACCTCAAGCTGTCCAGTGGTTTTAACAGCCAGAGCAACAGATTCAACAATGTAATTCACTGAATTAATCCTGGCACATGTCAGTTTCAGTTGAAAATCCCAGGATCAACATAAGGATATGCAAGAAACTCCCCCAGTTTATTGCCTTCTGCATCATAATGGAGCATCCGAAAACAAACGTCACAGAAGAAACAAGGATCCTCTGGTGCCAGACTGTCTCTGTTGGTTACCCACCTGCAGGTTACAAAACACAAGTGTTTTCTTAGAAGTGCAACACACTTGTAGCAAACATCTCAGCATTTTACTCAGGACTGGGATGGCAGCAACAAACATCTTATATATAATAATTTTATACACAAAAGGTTCTGCCTATATTGCGTATCTCCCATCCCATGCATACAGCTTATTTCCAAGCTCCACGCCCATTCTGTGTCAACCCCAGGAGCTCCAGCAGCACCTCCTGAGAAACTCCTCAAACCTGTGTTGCTGGTACAGTGCATTAAAAAAAAAAACAAAACAGAACAAAAAAACACAAACCAAACCAAACCAAAAAAAAAAAAAAACCCCCCAAAAAAAACAACAACCCAAAAAAACCCAAAAAAAAAAACCACAAAGAAAAAAAAACAACCAGGAATCTTCTGTCCACCCTTTGCCCATCTAAATCATAAAAGATAAAGATATAATCTTTTTTTCCCTTAATGCAAGAAACTGTGAAATGGAGCAGACGTGTACTGACCCAAGCTCCTCTGAGTAATCAAAACCATTTAGGAGTCTAAAAGCAGGACCCAAATGATGCAGACAAGACAAGGTGAAGATTGCAGCACACTCCAGCAAGCACTGAAGTTAACATGAACACAAGTTAACATGTACAAGGACGGCCTGCCATGTCACTGAGTAATTAATTTATGACAGCACTCAAGAGGCCACGACAGCTGAAGGCCTCTGGTGATTACAGATGCTATCTGCACAGATTAGAACACACTGGACAGCCAGCCAAAGCAGCTCTGCCGTCTCTGGTTTAGCATGTCCCCACTTAAGCTTAGTGCTTAATCCTGGTTTTAATTTAATGCATTTACATCACCTCTGGTAATGCCCTCCCCATCCCATCTTTCCCCCATATTGACCCTTGGGCTCCACCTCCCCTTATGGCCAAATGCCTCACAGATTATATTGTGAAGGCATCCTCAGGGCTCTGCTAGGAACAAAAGGATGGACTCCCATCTCAAGGGGAATTGGCTGTTTGCCTGATTCCATAGAAGTCTAAGGCCAAACAAGCAAGACAATGAAGACACAGTTGCTGTGTCAAACAGAGGCTGAGAGCATAAATTGTCCTGAGGGAAAAAAAAAAGGCAACCAGTGTTTTTGCAAATAAATCATTCAGATCTATAAAATCAGGGAGCCTAGCCTAGTCTTTAGAGAAATTTCTACTATTTATTGCAAGTCTGTCTCAGATCTAAATTAACATCACTAAAGTGTATAAAGAGCACCAAATTCATATTCTGCTCTTTTAAAGGTAGAAAATCACAAAGAGTTCATTCACGAACAGCTGCACACAGAGCACACAGTCTTCAGGTAGAGGTTAGGACCTTCCTGCAGGGCAAGTTAAATTTAAAAATCTCCAGATTTTATTATATTAGAGCTGGACGGATCTATACCTGCATAGATGCTAGATTAAACAAAAGCACTGTATGATTTTTGGTTAATTAATTTGAAACACATATCTTGCAAAGGAGGAAAACACAGCATTTTCTCCCAAAAGCAGAATTTTCAAAAGTAATTGACAAGATAGCCAAGTTCTAGCTATGGAAAGGGGCATGAGTCAAATAATTAATCTCTTACTCATTCAGTTCTTTTGAAACTCCTAAATCAATTCCAAATGAACATGACTTGCAGGAAGCCTTTTCCTGGTTAGAGAGAGATCAACTGTTTGAAGAGTGATGATGATTATTATTATTACAAAACACATACAGAACTTTGATTTTTACTGTTTTTTTAAAGTTAGCAGCAGCACCTTGAAAGAACTAAAACAAAAATAGCATCAAGAATGTAGCATACCTTGCTGTATACATCTTGCACACGAAACATTTTCTGGTACATAGCCAATGTTTCTTAACCAGCAAGGGATACAGATTCCTATCCAGACAGTCATCATGATGAATAAGCCTTGAGGGAAATAAATAAATACAACACATACAGTAAAGATGTTGCCATACTGAAATTTATCTGAACACAAGTATGGACACTGAAGATAGGGTACGATTTAAATTCCCATGTAAACTCTGACTAGACTTCTGCTTAACATTTCTTAACACAGATGAAGATCTGGAGATAGAGCGCTAGTTGCATCATCTGTGGATTTTATGGTCACAAGTAAATTCAGTTTGTGCAGTTTGTGCATAAAAGTCTTCAGACCATCTCCTTTTTGTGGTCTTTTTAAAGCTTTTATCTCCTATACAGACCAACAATCTATTGTCAGGTGACTCTTCAGATCATTTATGTGCAACATCTGTGCTTTTCTCTGGGTTATGCTCCTTTTGGAAGGCATCATGTATTATCAATACTTTGATACATCAGGCTCCTGGGAACAGAAAATGACCTGTCATCCACTACAGAGAAGCACAGGAGTGCTCTCTCTAGTTATGCACTCAGCAAAGTCTACACAATGGCTCTACTGCTTACGAGGCTGCCACCTCACAGTCACTATCACATCACTTCTCTTCCTGGCCTATCCGTCTCAGCCTACTATTTCCATTCCTCTATTATCTTTTCAGTTCTTGCCCCTTAGCTTCAAGTTCAAACTAATTGTTCAGTTGAGTCCAGCCACAGCCTACAACATTCTGCTCCCTGGTGCTCCAGAATCAGTATGTAAATCTGCCACACACTGGCTCCACATAGAAAGATCTTGACACTGTGGTTGCCAATCCTTTTACACAGCAGTCATAGCACACTAATTGCAAAGCAGTCTTTGTACTCAAATTAAAAAGAGAAAAGCAAGGAAGATTACTCTCCTTCTTTCAGAGATACTCCCTGTATATGGAAGAAAAATTTAAGCTCTGCAGAAGGCAGCAGAATAATCTTAAAGGAAATAAGTTACTCTAACAAACATTCAGCATCTAATGTCTGAAGTTTGTCCAGAGAAGGCTTACTTTCATTTGCCCAAGGACTCCCAAAGAATAGTTACTTACCTTATATCTGTGATTATAATGATGTGTTCACAGTTCCCTTGGTGACAGTAAAGGTATGGAAAGCCAATCTTGAGGGATAAATCATTAAATACATAGTCCTCCATCTTAACAGACTGAAGATTTTCATAGCCTCTGTCATGAGATTCTGACCACTCTATAATTGTTCTGAAAACAGAAAGGCCATTAGCAAAGCAAAGCTATGAACTGTGAATACAGAGAAAAAGATGCCTTGGGGACATGCAAAATTCTTCACTGAGACATGGTTAAGTGATGGAAATCAAAACAGTGGAAATCACAGCATTTGGTAGTAATTTAAGGTGATTTCACAGCAATACTACAACCCCACAGAACTGTTCACTGCTCTTGTGGAACATCTGCCTTTCAGTCCTCACCAGGCAGCTCCCTGAGGAGTTTTAGTATGCTCCTGATGGCACCCATCTAGGTCAGATTGTTCACAGCACAATACTTCTTAAGTAGTCCAATAATTCAAGTTACTAGCAGGTTATTTTGTCTCCTTGGTCAATGACTTCATTTTAAAGTATTAAAAAGTGCTTTTTTTCATATTTTGTTCTTGTCAAGGAAAAACACAAAGCTGACAAGTGCAGTTACATTTCCAAAATTTAGCACTGAAAGGGCACTGGCTACTGAAAATTCCTTTTTGGCTTTTCAGCACACTCCTACACACAAGGCATCTAACCCTACAAGCTGTGTATGCTATGACAAGGCCTTCTGTGAAGCTCTTGTTGTTCACAGACAGAAAGACAAGAAGTAAAATATTCATTTCCCTAAAGTCATATACAAAGTCTGGGAGAACAACAGTCAGCTCTTCCATACCAACCATTTTAAACATTTTGATCTCCTAAATCTCACTAGTGTATCGGCAAGACCATGCTTCTTTAAAATACCAAATTTCTTTTCTGATCAGTCACATAGGCCTCATGTTGACTTTACAATTAAGGCATTCAGCATATTTTCAAGACTGAGCAGGACAACCACTGCTACACAGTTGAGCTTGTTGTCTTTCTGACACATCTTCTACCTCACAAGCAAGTCTTCTCACTGCCATCACAAGTAGGGAAGGTACTTAAAAACCCAGTACAAAATGCCACCTGTCACTTTACACAGAAATCCCATCTCAACAGAGCAAACAGCATTTGCAAGTTAAAAAATGGATTCATAGTCTTTTCAAAATGAAAGCGAATGGAAGGAATAAGTAGAGCAAGTAAATTTAAACTTCTCTGTAAAAACCAATTCATCATGGAAAAACAACAGGAAAAGTTCATTCCAGCTTAATACTCCAGACATTCCAGTACCTGTTACACCACAAGTCATAAACAAAATGAAACAAATTTTATATTCCTCAAGGTTTTCTTTAGTCAACATCATATCGTACCTGCTCAGATCTCTGCACTCTAGGTATCTTTTGTCATCATAAAAGATGCCTTCAAAATAGAAGAAGGCAGATTTGTAGAGATCCTGAGAGACAGAGAGAGAAGTCTCCATCAGTGTTGAGAATAAACACTGATGTATGTTGAGTATGAGAGAATAAACACCTTAAACAAGAACATGTCAAAAATCCAAGCATCTTAGATACCTAAATTATATTGAGAGCTCACTCTACAGGTGTCTAAGAAAAGTTCTGCTCTGATTGTAGATGCTGGTGTGACAAACTAGGCTCATATGACTGCCAGCTATGCAGTTACTCTGCTGAGATTGTTCTCAAGCCATTACAGGTTACTTTAATGCTCTTCTCTTGTTTCCATCCCTATCAGAGAAGTTATGAACTTCTACAAAAACACAGAACAAGAACATAGGCATCGTTGCACAAACTCAGCAATTGCAAGGCACTGAATTTAATAAAATAATAATATTTAAAAAAATTAGCAAGATGCAGTGTGTTTGCTTTGGGTGGCTACCCAAATACCTATCCACCTGCTCTCTCACTCCTCTTTCTTCACAGGACTGGGGATACAAAGACAAGCAAGCTCATGGGTTCAGATAAAAGCAGATAAAAGAGAAAAAGCAAAGCTTGCACACAAAAGTAAAGCAAAAAATAAAAGGTGATTTATTCCCTATTTCCCATCAGCAGGTGACAGGTATTGGAATAAGCTGCTCAGGGAAGTGGGGAAATCACCATCCCTGGGAACGTTGAAAAGCTGGGTGAATGTGGCACTTGGAAATATGGTTTACAGAACACAGTGACAGCAAGTTAACATTCAGCTCAGCTTCTGGAGCGGATTTGGCATCTGGTGACTCTTCCACTGCTGGTATGAGTGCCATAAACTATCATTGATGGAAGAGAATGTTACAAATGGACTGTCTACATGTGACAAACCTTGCAATTAAGGAAGAATTTTGAAGGATGATAGATTTTCTTGTGAGACCCTAGAAGTGAGGTGATTGGAACTTCCAGAATTGCCTGTCTGATTTGTTTGTACAAACGTGATCAGGAAGTGCTCTCATGTGTAGTTGTGCATGCATGCATGTGCAAACACATATGTGCACGGGACAAGATTTCAATAATTCTCTGTCATTTCAGTAAGAAGTACTTTGTGTTCTGACCAAATGCACAGAGGGTTAATGTGGTATGGAGTTAACTTTCCTCATAGCAGCCTCTGTGTGTGCTCTGCATTTTTGGCAAAGGGGAGCTGATAATACACTAGTGTTCTGGCTACTGCTGAGCAGTGCTTGCACAGCTTCAAGGCTGTCTCTCTAAGTCTCCCCAAAACCAGTGGGCTAGGGCTGGGTGAGGATGGGAAGGAATGTAGCTGGGACAGGTGACCCAAACAACATTCCATGTCACATGATGCTACACTCAGCAATAAGAGCTGGAGGAAAAGAGGAAGGGGCCATTCATGGTGAAAGCATTTGTCTTCCAAAGCAGCCACCATGCATGCTGAGGTCTCAGGAAGTGGTTGGAATAGAAGCATAGAATCATCAAGGCTGTAAAAAACCTCTGATATCATCAAGTCCAACCATTAACCTAGCACTGCCATGTTCACCACTAAACTATGTCCCAAGTGCCACATCCACATATTTCTGAACACTTTCGTGGCTGATATTCCACCACTTCTCTGAGTAGCCTGTTCCAATGTCTGACCACGCTTGCAGTGAAGAAGTGTTTCCTAATATCCAATCTAAACCTTCTCTGGTACAATTTGAAGCCATTTCCTCTCATCCTGTCTTGTTACCCAGGAGAAATGACCCTTACCTGGCTACACCCTCCTCACCCTCCTTTCAGATAGTTGTAGAGAATGATAATCTTCTTCTCCCTCAGCCACCCTTCAAGGATTCAATAAAGATTATTCCTACTTATTCTAAATGGGAAAACCATAGACAATCAGGCACTCTCCATCATCAGACCAGTCTGGAGATGCTCATTTGTGCCCAGAGGTCTCTTTGAGCTATTAACTCTAGGTTGCCAAAACACAGAAAAAGCAGACACCGCTTTTCCAAAGACAGGATTTCTCAGATGACCTGCATGAAGACACAGTAGTAGGAATGTGTTTTACATTCAGTCTCTTTGATTCACTTCTGTCACCGTTACCCTCTGTGCTGCTGGCACAAAACTGGAAGGAGTGGCTGATACACCAGTTGATCCTGTTGTCAGCCAAAGGGATCTGGCCCAGAGAAATGGGCCAACAAGAACTTGTTGTGGTTGAGCAAGGAGGAGTGCAGGTCTTGCCCCTGGGGATAAACAAGCTGATACTTTACTGTATGCTGAGGGCCACTCAGCTGGAGAGCAGCTAGGCAAAAAGGACTCAGGGATCCTGTAGATCCCAAATTGAACATAAGCCAATTGTGTTCTTGCAGCAAAGACAGCCAACGGAGCAGATGGGATCCTGTGCTGCATTATATAAAATACCACCAGCAGGTCAAGGGAGGCAATCCTTCAATTCTCCTCAGCACTGCTGAGGCCATACCTTAAGGCCTCTCTTAGGTCTTGGCTGCTCAGTACAAGAGAGACATGGATGTACCAGAGAAATAGTCCCATAGGGGCTGTGAAGATGAAGGGACTGCATCATCTCTCCTAAAAGCAGTGGCTGAGAGAGCTGTGAGTTAGAATCCCAAAGAGAAAGCTCAGGTAGGGGAATCTCATTAACATACACAATACCTCTAAGGAAGGTGCAAAGAGGATGGAGCCAGGCTCATTTTAGCAGTCCCAAGTGACAGGATAAGCACGAACTGAAACACATGCAGCTACCGCAAAACCTCAAGAAACACTTTACTGACACAGGTGGCTGAACACTGACAGAGGTTGTCCAAAGAGGCTTTGCAACCTCCACCCCTGGAGATACGCAAAAAACGCTGGGACATGGTCATGGACAACCGGCTGCAGGTGGCATTGTTTGAACAGAGGGAGCAGACCAGACGACCTCCACAATCCCTTTCAATGTCAAACATTCTATGATATATTATTATTGTCATACAATGTATAACCAAAATTATTCCATTTCAGTACTTTCAACTAGATGACTTGTTTTGCTCATATCCAGAGAATACATAGTAACTTTGGGAGAGAAGAATAATCCTCGTCCCTACATTTGATTAGCATCCAGTTGCAAACAACAAAGCACAGTGGGATGGTCTAGCTTACTATTATTAGTGGGATTATGCTCTGATGTTTCAGAGTACAGCTCAAAATAAAATTAGTTCACAGGAATATATCTATGCAAAACTCACTGCTTCTGTTTCTATTTCCTAGCAGTAGCAATGATGATGTTTTTCTTGATATTGAACAAATCAGATCACCTTGGTAATGCCACTATGAAGTATTTACTTGCAGTGCAACCAACAGGCAGAACGAATGCAGCTGAATTTAGTGCTGAAGAAAAAATAACAAAACAAAACTCTGTCTCCCTTTCTATGTTTTCAAGACTCCTATATGTGTAGAGGGTTCCACACAGAAAGCTTTACCTTGCTGATGTGCTCTGGTGCTTGATCTGGCTGACTGCTGAACTCACCACCTATCTGGAGGTCACTGACGCAGGAAATCGAGTCTCTCAGCTCAGTGAGCTTCTGGCTGCCCAGTACAAGGACTGTTTGGTAGGGTTTGTGATCTTTATGCTACAAAGAACACAGAATACAAACTCCAGATAAATTATAACTTATCAGCATCAGCACTGCTGCTCATTTGACAGCTAAGGTCATCTGGCACACCACTTCTCTAAACAGCATCTTGCCACAGCCTCTCCTAAGACTGATATTTAACAGTTTTATTCAGGAACTCAAATGTTACATTCTCCATCAGAAAGTGTAGAAAAGATGGAAAGTCTGTGCTCGCTTATCCCAAATCAAGAAAAAGTACTTTAGTTTTCATGTATTTATTTTCAGGTTTTGAGCTTTCTGTAAAGTAAATCAACTACTGCGCAATTATTGTAAAAGTTTTGTTATGTAAACCACTAACAGAATGAAAGCCAGATTCTGAAAAAGCCTTAAGAAATTATCACAGTTGAAGAGTTTAGCACATGTCATCAGTAGACTCACTGATTTTAACTGCTTGGGAGGGCAAGATATTACCTGAATAGGAAAGAATCAGAATACAACCCAGAGAATTTCATACCAACCTTCTGAAATATAACAGGATAAAAGATGTTCAGAGTTAAAAGTAGTTCTCCCTCCTCAATTAGATCTGTTGGATCATCTGGCCTCTTTCCAATTGCATGTGACTCCTGGAAAAACATACACACACACATATATACATTATACTGGCACCCATATATATATATACACACACACACAAATAATAAACACTGGGCAAGAGTCTGAGAAATGCTGATTTGTTTTTGACCATGTAGCCTTCTGAATTGAAAACAGCCTACTTCCTCCAAGGTGGAAAGGTGAGAAACTGCTCCAATTACCAACTGCAAGCACGTTCCTTCATTTCTCAGCTTTGTTGCAAGACAGATGGCTGCTCCTCAGCCACTGAGAGGCCCCACATAAAGTAATTAGAGGCTGCTGTCATTCTGCCCCCATGGAACCCACCTGCTACCAACTTTCACCACTTAATGCTTTGAAACACTCTTTGAATGCTTCCATAAGTAAAGGGGGGTTGCAACCCTTAATTTTGGAAACACTAATCTAGAAAATATACGCAGAACAAAATATATGAAAATTACAGTCAGCGCAACACTTCCTCTTATTAGGGAAGCTAGACACAGCTGGAGGCCACAATTTCTCTGAAGTCAAAACCCAAAACCCAGCACTGCCCTTGCCACAGTACCGTGTTTTAGAAAAGAAGTAAATGATCCCTACATTTGCATCCTGTTTTGTGTTTGAGACACAGCCCAGCTGTGAAAATGAGGGAAGGTACTTTTCTGTGGCTCTTTCCTCCTTTTCCAACAAATCTAGAATGTGTTCCTGCACAAACACCTCCCACCACCATGGAGTATTCCTCAGATTTAGTAACAGGAACTTGTACTCCTGTGAGACTCAGAGATACTTGGGTTCTCTGCCTCGCATCTGCCTTCTTCATGTGACACATTCCAAACTCATGTTTCTTACTGCTCTCCTCCTGTACAAAAGCATCGTGGTCCCAACTACAGAACCACAGCTCTGACACAGCTTGCTTAAAGAACGCAAAAAATGACCATGTGATCATTCTTTCAATGCATAGAGCAGTATCCATTGAAACACTTTATGAAGGTTTCTGTTGCTAATATTTTCTCAGATATTCCCCAGACTAAGAGCCCAGCAGAGTAGTTGCATCATATTGTTTACATAATGTGCCCGGATCTCTGAACAGCTGAAACATGATAACTCACAACAGACCAAGAAACCTCAAGGGGAAGAACAAGTCCAATGGTCACATGAGGTTCTTTCCTTGCTACACTTCTGTCCCTAATTTAAACAGCAGTTCATGGCTTGCTAAAGCCATGGACTTCAGCACCTCAGTGCCCCTGAAAGAGTTCAAAGAATGTATACGTGGTGCTTAGGGACACAGTTTAGTAGTGGATCTGGCAGTGTTAAGGTAATGGCTGGGCTCAACGATCCTAAAGGTCTTTTAACCTTAATGGTTCTATGAACATTTATGAAATGAGGTTTTGCTGTTTAGGGTTTCAATGGTCAAGAAAAAAATAATTAAAAAAAACAAACTTATTAAGCACAGTTAAAAAATTCCAATAAGGCTTTTCAAGGGCTGATGACTATCCTCTTGGTTCCTGGCAGTTTAGAATGGCTGAAAAACTTGGTTTACAAAGCTCAGAATTAGGAATTTACCACCACTGTGCTTCTACTGTTTTCTTCTCTCAGCCCTACTGAAACTAGCTCACAATCATTCACACACTGAAGTTTAGTTTCTAACACTGGACTCCATGAGCAAAACCATTACACATTTTGTCTAGCTCTGTGCCTAGCTGTAAGTTCACAGCACTTTAAAATATCAGTCATATAGTGGTAACGAGATGAAGCTCCTCCTTAACTACATCCAGCACTAACAGTCAGTAAAGAGCAGACTTCCTGTCCTATCTTTCTATAAAATTACTTCATTTTTAATCATTACCGGGCAAACTTGTATCTGCAAACATTTACAGCGTGCATTTCATAGTGGTGAATAAAAAAGCAACCAGAAGTCGGATTTTGGCTGTCTTGAGAGCCTATAAGATGAGAAGAAATTTACCATCTCATAGGTAAGGGTTTCTTGTCTGCAAGCCCGATCCACAATAATTGTTTCTTCTCTCCTCTCTAAGGCCTTCTTCCTAATTCTGAGGAGCAGGAACACAAGACAAAAGTTAATTCAACAATTTCCACATAAAATTTCAAGAATTTCATATTTTTAAATGACACAAGCTACTACAGAGCAGCTTTCAAAGAGCAGGATTCCTGTCTTAGGGGGACAGACTAACTTAAAATACTCATCTCCTGACTCTCATAAAACCTGAGAGTGCACAGGCCAGCTTATGGATTTCAGCTTGTGGGATTTTTCCCCCTCATGTGTAAATGACAGGTTGTTTGTGAGCAACTTTACACTCACAAAAAAAACCAGCAAAATGTTTGAAGAGGTTGTCCTAGGACAAAACACTTCGTGACATTTAAAGAAACTGTTTCAACAATTCCTTCTGCTTCAAAAAGAAAAGAATTCAAGTTCAAGCAAAACACAAGGAAAGAAACAACCCAGAAATATTCTTTCTCAGCCCCACAGCACAGACACTTTAGAAAACCAAAAAAACAAACCTTCATTATCAGTTGTAGAAGAAAGACTATCATAAGTAGAATACCGACTAAAATACATGTATTTAACCACTGCATGAACACCCAATCCTTAACATCCAGGACAAGTTTACTTATCCTCCAGACCTCCACAAGAGTTTTCAGTAACAATCAGGCTTACTACTGATCACATTTCTAAACACATTTATTTACATTAGTGCTATGTAAAGTACAGCAAAGGCCTGAACTGGCCAAGTTTGCCAGCTGATAGAAACCATATATATTTTGGTTATCCTCTGAAATGTTACCAGCCTTGAATCAATAAATTCAATAAATTCCTTGAACAAGACCAAACTCAACAAAGCACTGGACACAGCATCAGTACTTACAGTCTGGCTGTTAGTGCGTGACTGACAGTTACCAGAGGTATGAGATAGGTTTCTCTGCAGGAACCTCACACACATGATTATCAGAAGGCCCCTCCACACTCCAAACTTAGGCACTACTTCAGAAACACTTAGGTCCAGAAATCTTTTTCCAGTAAGGAAGAAGGCATATTCTGTATATCTTAATAAAAAAGTTCCTAAGCAACATTCAGATGACTCATATCAATGATGCCATCATAAGCTGGTGTTTCTGCCCTTATGGTATTTTTGTATGGTGCTTCAGAAAGCATTGTCTGTGAAAGGAACAAGCAGCCAGCCATATTTCCATGGTAGTTTTCCACCCCACCCCAAATAAGGGTACTGTGAGAGCACTGTAACAGCATACCGAAGAGTGAGCAGACTGCTATCTTCAGGAATAACATCTGGGTCCTCTTCTTTTTCAGAACACATTAACATATCAATGCTAAAATAATAAAAAAATAACAGATAGAATCACAGAATCATAGAACAGTTTGGGTCGGAAGGGACCTTAAAAGATTATCTTGTTCCATTCCCCGCAGCAGCATTGGCAGGGACAGCTTCCACTGGACCAGGTTGCTCAAGGGCACATCCAACCTGGTCTTGAACACTTCCACGAATGGAGCATCCACAAATTCTCTGGGCAACCTGTTCCAGTGTCTCACCACTCTAAACAGTAAACAATTTCTACCTGATATCTAAGTCTAGAGCTATCCTCTTTGGACACCGCAGTGATTTCTCACAGTCTGTGTATGACAGGCAGGAACCTGGAGGTGGTTTCACTACCTGGTCCCATTTATGAGTTCCCATTTCAGGTTGTGCACTGCAGCACACCAGATTCAGAGGAATCATTATACGCACATCCCCTCCTCTGCAGTCCTTCCTAGAAGCATTTTGCATTCATCACAATAGAATTTTATCCAGCTTAAAAATAGTCTGCGGAAAAAAAATATTTAGAACAGAGAACTGCTTTGAATCAGACTTGATTGCTTTTGTCTCTCCACTTTTACAGACTATATAAAGGCAGGGATTACTCGAGTGCCTAAGTCCATATGCAGTTTGAATCCCAGCAAACTCTTGTGCAAACCCATCTCTTTATGGGACAAAACTACCACTGGTGAAATCCAGGAAAACCTTTCAGACCGTACCATTTATCCTCAAAAATATTTATGGCTTCATTATATTCTTTTTCATTATAATCCTATAATATTCCCCATGTCAGCAATAATATCACTACAAATTACCCTTTTGGAGTAACAAATAACCCTTTTGGAGTGGAACTGCATAGGAATACAAAGTAATTGAGAAATAGAAATCAGAAATCAGCTGACAATAAGCAAAAGTCAGAGACAAAATTTTGATTGTGGACAGATGGTTTTGTTCTCATGAGCCAATAAAGTCATTCAGTATTGACAGTTATATAAATTTATTACTGTTTAGCTACTTAACATTCAGCAACATACAAAGTTTTAAATTTTCTGTCTCACAGTTTTCATCTCAAACAGAAAATATTTTCTTTTTAAAGTTATGGAGAAAATGGGATTCTTTCAGAAGTACAATTTTAAAAGGAACTTTGCAATAATGAGCCACAACCTTCTGGAAACAGAATGGACCTTATCTTTACATTCCCACTTGAAGGAAGTGGAGGCAGAGACAACCAAGTTAATCCTGTGTCAAATGTAGACTGAAACACAGCTGACAAATAGTAATCTAACTAACAGAAAGATGGAGAACAGGATTTTGGAGAACACAGTTCAACCTTTTAGATGGGGCTGTTCTCCAGGCAGCACAGTGTTGTGTTATGAGCAACCCACATAATCAAGTAAAGGATATCCCCTGACAGACAAATCAACTCACAACTGACCCTTTCTGTAAAACTGACAACATGACCAAATTATTTATCCAAAGTCTCCCAGCACATGGATCAGTGATCCTATACACCAAAGAGCCCAAGTCACTTGAATATGTATAATATTCATATAAATATACCATTTTGAGGAAATTACTTTGTATTCAGTTCTTTAAACATCACAGGAATTATATGCAGGATCTGAAAATCTATTTATTACCTACTAATCTAAATTTAAATCTAATTAAACCTAAATTTAATCTCATCTTAATCTAAATTTATTACCTACCATTGTGAAGTTTCACTTGCATCAAAGGTTTCCCATTTCCCTTCTGTGTTAGAACCGGCCAATAATATGTCAGAACTTACTAACAGGTGGGATCTCTGGCTGTGCTATTCACACCATGACCACTAATTGCCTGTTTCAGGGAAAAAAACTAATATCATTGGAAAAGCTGCTACAAAGAGACACCATGTAAAATAACTGACATTAAAACTGCTTCCTCTTTTTCCTTGTGAAGACTGCAAGGTACCTAGTGTAAAGGGATACTGACATTGAACCCCTAACAAGTTCCGTGGAACCTTACAAGCACTGGCACTGCCACTTCTCACTCCTGAAAAGTCAGAAACCCTCAATTTCTAAAGGAAAAGCAGAGCACCTTTTTCAGTATTAAGAATCTGTCTAATAGTTAATTACGTATGTCACCGTATCACACGCACTGAAGTCTGGAAAGGTTTTGCTGTGTGGCCTTACACACAGGCCATGCTGGAGCTGCCCCTGCATAACTCCACTGCTGCCAGTGGAACCACGTAGGCAATACTTGGTCCATTGTCCTGAGGGAGCCAGGCTTTACAAACAGGAATTATATGCTGATCCCTTCAGAAATTAAGGCTAAGTCAGTGTCAGATACCTAAGACATGGAAGTGTGTGCAATACCAGGACACCTCACTCCTGACTGCCACAAGCTTGGGATCCTACTGTGTCCCCACAGAGACTATTCCCTGCATGCATGACAAATTCATTCAGTGCATGGAGTTACACAGAGAGGAAAACACTGCCCATGCTGTTTAATGGAAACCAAGGCAAAGTGCAGGACAGTAATGAGGAACAACAGTTGAAAGTATCTCTTGAAAAAAGACAAATGCCAAGTATTATATAAATTTATGTCCCCTACAAAGATATTTTTAGGTGATCAGAAATAAAAAGGCCAAAGAGAACTCTCTAGAAATGTAGACTTGGAAGCAGACTACCAATGAAGTCTTCAAAGTCTGTGACTTCACTTTTTCCAGATATTCTAGCGCAGAACGAGTTTTCTCTTTTAGAAATTCAAAGATATTTTAGTATTTGGCCTGATACTTTATAATAAGCAGTTACAGTGTTCATATTACTCTTTATATTGCACATATTTTAAAGGTAGTACTTTCATCACCTTTGAGACACTAATGCCACAAGACACTAAATACTAATACGTTAAGATGTTAATGCTAGCTTAAAGCAGCTTTATAACACATCCCAAGAGATATTTACAACTACCCCTTCTAATAAAACAAGAGGGTGAATTAGGGCTGAAGTTGAATGAGGTACCTGCAAGCCTCACCTCTCCTGACCTACCTAAAACCCACAGTGATTTGAGGCTTAGCCTGCCCTATACATGCAACACATCCCACAGATGACAAAACAGAGTAACACAAACTCAGCATCTCCAACATTCAGTCACTCAAGCACCAATCATGAATAACAAGGTAAACTTCTTTGCTCATAGACCCCTGAGGAATTTGAACAAAACCTAGAATTTTACTCTATTGACACCTTGGTTATTTAAGAGAATAACTGATGGAATCTTCCAGATAAAGACACAATTTTACACCTGTTTAAGATCATGATGAAAACATGAGCAATCTCTATAATGATTATCAGCACACCACTTGAGCAATATGTAAGGCATTCTTACTGAGTCAAATGCAAGTGAGGGAAGACACAATTTTTTTCCTGCATTCTGTTTGCACGAATGCATTATAGGAAGAAAATAGAATAAAATAATAATAATAATAATAATAATAATAATAATAATAATAATAATAATAATAATAATAATAATAATAAACAAAACAGCAAAACAACAAAAAATGAACAAATTAAAAAAAAAAACTCCAACAAATCAAAACAAAAAATTTTAAAAAACAAAAAAAAAAAAACACCCCAACAAGCCAAAAACCAAACCAACAAAAATTCCCAACCAACCAAACAAAAAAACCCAAAAACAACAACAAAAAAACCACCACCAACCAACCAAAAAAACTCCTACAATAACCACATTGCACTGGGGTGCTCAAGGAGTTAAATAGCACTTAAACATAATACCATTTCTCCTCAGCAGAAGACTGTACATTGTCAGGAGTACTTAAATGTACATGATGTCACTCTAAAAAAGATTTAATGATGGATACTGAAAAACTTCATCCTGAATCCATGAAAGATTATTTTAATCCAACACCATTTTAAAAATAGATGTAGGAGCATCCACATCTTCCTATCTCTTTTCCACCCAAAGAAAACCTACTTAATTTGTCAGAAGTTTCCTTAGAAGTAGAGTCAGAAAAATCTGTGTTTATATCCATTATGTGCTCATTTCATCACTTACAAAATTATATTTACACCAGTCATAAATGTGATCCCAGGATATCATAAGAACAGATCTTGGTGTAGCCCAGTGTTCTCATCCCTCCTCAAGACAGGAGTATGAGCAGCTCAGAGCAGGTGAGTGAAAGTGAGGTAGCGATTTGACGTTGGCAAGTGTTAATGAGAGACTCAAGAAACTAGGGCTATTTAATTTAAAAGCAAAAGCACATGGAGATTATGGATTGGGATTTCTAGTCTGAACGGGGGAAAGGTCACACCAGGCTGTGCAGGTTCAGCTTCATTCTCCTGCAAAGCCAAAAGGCTGCCAGCTTATCAGTTCTCTCCCATTCATAGATCATCAGCCCTTTTTCCCAAACGACCACTGCTCTCAGTACACTCAGCCCCAAGCAGACAGCATTGCTCTGTAACACCTGCAAATGCAGACAGCAAGTGAAATGTAGTGGGTGTAAACTGAAAAAAGCAGAACAGAAGAAAAAAGCAGAAGGCATTTGGGAAAAATTAAAGAAATCACAGGAAAAACTCCTTGGAATTCAAATGAAAACTGCAACAAACAGATTCAGGCAATAGTGTTGCCACAGAGAATAAGGCACTGCACAGGAGTAATCAGGGACCATCTAGACTGGAAGAGATTACAGAGTAATTGTCACAGTTTCTGCCACACCAAAATACTTTTTTTTTTTTTAAAACCAACATCATTCTCTATTTTTACTAAGTATAGTAACGGTAAAAATTTATGCTGGTCACCAGAACTGTGACAGGTGAAGCACAAAGCTATACAGATAGGATCAGAACTCTGGCATGTCTTCCTTACTGACAGACTACAGGTAAATTAATAACTGTGATGCTTTCTACAGGAATTACTGCCTGAAATCAGGCCTTTTCTACAGGTGAAGCACAATTCTCACTATCCACGTGACCTGAAAGCCTTCCAGCCATAGCATGTTAGATTTGCTGCTGCTTCAACACCCACAAAGCATTTACATACCCCTGACTTCAGCACCAGCCCTGAGAAAAACAAGTCAGTGGAGGCTAAGGACCAAGAGATACTCAACAGGGACTGTACGCAGTCAGCCACCTGAACTATTCTAAATGATGTTTTTAAGGGATTCAAATTAAAAGAGTGTAGGCTTAGATTAGTATTAGGAAGAAGTTCTCTGCTGTGAGGGTGTTGAGGCACTGGAACAGGTTGCCCAGAGAAGCTGTGGATGCCCATCCCTGGCAGTGTTCAAGGCCAGGCAGGATGGGGCTTTGAGCAACCTGCTCTAGTGAAAGGTGTTCCTGCCCATGGCAGAGGGATTGGAACAAGATGATATTTAAAGTCCCTTCCAATGCATTCTGTGATTTTATGATTCTTTGTTAATACAAACACATGCCTGGCTTATTTCTTCATACAAGGTACATGAAGAAGTTTCACTGTACAAGTGCTGTCTCCTAAAACCATCGAGATGTTCAGGTACCTCTAAGTACCTAACCAGCACCATGTTGCTAAATGTTTACCCATGTAACTTTAAGCGCCAAACTGTTTGTTCAAATTCACAGATGTAACAAGGTTTCCACAACTGGAGCACTACCCTCCACAAAAACTGTTTACCTTCAAGGCATTTTTGGCTGCAGAGATTTTGGTGACCAACTCTTCATAAGGAACTGTACCACAGGAGGAGTATTCAGTACAAATGAGAAAGGGGCAAATTTAGATTGGTATTAGGAAGAAATTCTTCACTGTGAGGGTGATGAGGCACTGGAAGAGGTTGTCCAGAGAACTTGCGGATGCTGGAAGTCTGGCAGTGCTCAATGCCAGGCTGGATGGAGCTCTAAGCTATCTGGTCTAGTGGGATGTGTCCCTGGACATGGCATAGGGCTGTATGACTTTTAGGTCCATTCCACCCCCCTGACAGACTATTACGTTGTATTTACCCAGGAAATATAAACAAACGCGTGCCACAGGCCCGGAAGAGGCTGCTCTGAAGCGGTTTTGCCCGAACACCTTCCGCCTCTGCCCAGGAACCGCCGCGGTGACAGCGGTGACAGCACCAGCCACCTCCCCGCCCCAGCGCCGAGCGACGCCACCGGCATCCCCCTCGCACCGGAGCCGCAAATCCCGGCCTGCAGACAGCCGGCCTTCCCCACCTGCAGACGGCGCGCAGCTCGGCCGCCGTGCCCAGCGCGCAGCCCAGCGCCGCCGCCGCCTCCGCGTCCGCCTCCTCCTCCGCCTCCGCCGCCAGCGAGAGGTCGGGCGGCTCCAGCAGCCGCCGCCAGCCGAGGCCCAGGCCGCCCACGCGGAACGAGCGGGTGTACAGCTCGGCCGACTCGTAGTCCGGCACGACCGCCGCCATGGCCGCGCGGGCCCGCCCCCGTCCGGCCCGCCAGACGCGTCACGGGGCGCAGCCGGGAGCGGAGCGGCGCGTGACCGGGAAAGCGACTGAGGCGCCTCTGCTTCCCGGCGGGGAGCACTGGGCAGCGTTCGCTAGGGAGAAAGCAATTCCCGAAACAAAAAAAAACCAAAACTAACCAAGCAAAAAAGCTCAAACAAAACTGAAGAAACGTGTTTCCTGGGCTGCTGGAGTCCACTCCGGCTAGCTATAGACCCTTGCCCACACGATATTTCATAGACGAAGGTAAAAGATTGATAAGTGCCCTCCTCCACGTGGGAAACGTTGTCTTTTTTTCCAGGACACAAACAAGGCGGACAAACCCATGGCAGAAGAGGGCGTTCCCTGGCAGCAGGGAGCTTTTGTACCCCCCGGATGGGGACAGAGGGAGAGGTCCGCAGCTAATGGGACACCAGCGAGGAGTGGCTGGGGGAGGGATAACCCAGGGGAGAGACCACCACGTGGTACCAGGATAGGTGAGGGAAAGACCAAGTGGTGGGGAAAAGGGGTAACAAACCACATAATGTAACATAAGCTATACAGTGCAATACAAAACTATTCTGTGCAAATTCCCAATCACCCAGTGCAAGGGAGCAACTAAACTGGTGCACCACAACACCTCCCCCTTTTCTGTTAAAAAAAAATTAAAGGAAAAGCATTGGGCTATCTGTGTTTCAAGTTCAGGGGTCTGCTGGAATGCAGCTGATGCTTTTAGGAAAATTCCTCCTCTTTCTGGCGGCGTCTTCTCTTCGAGGTGACAGCTGCTTGCTTCTCTCCGTCTGCTGGAGCTGGATTCTTGGGAACAAAAGGTTTTACCCACTTTTGGGGTATCCATCGAGGGCCTGTGGCGTAGCCATGCCCCCGGGTGACAAGCTCATAAGGACCCTTGGTTTCTGTGTCCTTAGTGAGAACTGGTGGATGCTGTGATAACTTAAACCGATTGTTATTCTGGAAATGCTGCACTACTGGAGAATTCATGTTTTCAAATGAACAATTCAAAAAATTAATCGTAAACAGGGCTTTGCAGAGCTTTTGTTGTGGTGTCATCCACACTGCAGAACTGCCTTGCCTGGCCAGGACTTGTTTGAGCATCTGGTGGGCACGCTCAATCACAGCTTGACCTGTGTGGGAGTGGGGAATGCCTGTCTTATGCTCCACTCCCCACTGCTGGACAAACTCTAGGAACTCCTTGGAGGCATCTGCTGGACCATTGTCTGTCTTAATCTCCCTAGGCATCCCCAACACTGAAAAGGCCTGCACCAGGTGCTGTTTGGTATGCACAGCCTTTTCCCCAGCGCAGGCAGAGGCATAAACCACACCTGAATAGGTGTCTATGCTGACATGTACATATTTTAGATGACCAAAACTGGGAATGTGTGTGATGTCTGTCTGCCGTACTTCGCAACTCCCAAGGTCACGGGGGTTAACCCCAACACCCAGAGATGGCACAGCCTGGAGCTGGCAGTTGGGACAGGTGACCACAATGGCCAAAACAAAACACTGGCACAGCTTAAGACTGTCCTCTCATTCTGCCACTTGTTATCTGGGGAAAAAGACCGATCCTCACCTGGCTACAAGCTCCTTTAATTTGCTTATTCTCCTCCCAAAGTGAAAACTTAATGTCTTTGTAATAAATAGGTGTGATTCGTGCTGATAGAATTGAAACAGTAATCAATATTGATACAGTAATTAATATCTAGAAATAATAAAACAGTTAAAGGTGTAATGCCAAGAAAGAAAGGGAGAGGAGGGGCTCCCCCCCCTTCTCCTGCAGATGTTCAGAACAGGAAGAAGCAAGAGATAACTATTGCTAAATTTAGTTGGAAGAAGAGGAAAATTTGGTTGGACATCTAGGAAAATATTAATTATATGAGATTTATTGCTTTGATGCTAGAACATAATATTGGCTTATATGATATTAGCTTTGGCTTACATTATACCAGCTTGGTGCGCATGTGTAATCCAAAAGGTGAATCAAAAGACATTGAGGAAGAGGAGAGGCCTTCATCAGAGACGACCCCAAAGAACAGTACAACCACCTAAAAGAATGGTGGAGCATGCGTGGTAAAGGTGATAATGAGGGTGGAGATACAAGTGTGATGAATCGAAAATGGGAGGAGATGGTGATGATGTACAGTATAAAAAGGGGAATTTTGGCTTGGCAAGCTTGTATGTGAGGGGACAGGGGTCAAGCCCTGCACTCCGTACCCTGTGCTACCCTGAGTAGTTATTTTTGCTTATGCGCTATTATTAGAACCAAATTATCCCTTATCATAACCAAATTATATTGTCAACATTTCAAGTGTATTCAATTTTATGTATTTTAAGCTACTGAATTAAAATTGCTGCTACATTTAATTTTGCTTTTTTTTTTTTTTTTAAATTATGGGATAATTGGGCAAATATAACATCTTGGTACAATGAAAAAGGCTAAGGAAATACATAACCTTTTACCCAACACTGCTCATACCAACACTTAAAAAGGATATATATGTGCCATCCATATAACAATTCCCCACTGAAGTAGTGTGACAAAGCTGACATGAGCACAACCTGTTAAGGAAGACAACAGAAATAAATCTGGATTGCCCTAACCTGATATACCTGATGCACATACCCATTGAATGACAGCCTTTGCACTTGCTTCGAGACAAAATATTAATGGAATCAGAGAATCAAAGTATGGTTTGAGTTCAAAGGGACCTTAAAGATCATCTAGTTGCAACACTCATTGCTGTGAACAGGGATACCTTCTAGTGGAACAGGTTGCTCAAAGACCCCATCCAGCCTGGTCTTGGACAGTACCGGGGATGGGAATTCCACAACTTTTCTGGTCATCTTGCTCCAGTGCTTAGCCCTCACAGTAAAGAATTCATCATAACACCTAATCTAAACTTGCCTTCTTTCAATTTAAAACTATTGCCTCTTGTCTTGTCACCACCTGCCTTTATAAAAACACTTTTTCCTTTTCGTAAGTCCCCCTGAGGTACTGGAAGGCCATAGTGAAGTCTCTCTGAAGATTTCTCTTCTCCATAGAGAACAACTATGAACAGCTCCAGCTATCTCAGCTATTCCTCTTACTTCTCTAACTAGAAAAATAATGCTGGGAAGAGGTGAATTATCAGATGGTGTTGAAGCCAGGGGTGAAGATAAACCTTAAAAAGTTCATGAAAGTTCATGAAAGTTCATGAGACTGGGTTTTTGCATGCTGTGTGGAATGGGCAGAATGCTGAGAGAAGGTTATGAGATTTGCCTGCTAGTTTCACAAAGCAAAGTGATATAGGGGGACTTAAGAATATAAGAAAGCTCAGCAAGAGCATATTTTGCTTTGCTTAGCAATTACAACATAGCTTAAAGTCCTTATAGATCCCCCAGTTATATTGAGATTTGCACTGCATTTCAATGCTGAATTCTTTTATTAGCTCTCATTAACTTCTGCCTCTTAATTGTAGTTATTATTCTTCATTAGGAAAGTTTTGCTAAGCTCCATTTTTCCAGTAAGTATAGACAGTCTCTGTTTCCTTCTTCAGTTACACCCTCTGCTTTCTTCATCCATCACCTTTGTGCTTCATGACACTCCTCAGCTCTGGAAGAAGCTCTTGATTAAGGGCTATTACCCTCACTTCCTGTTGAATCCTCCCTGAAACCTATGAGTTGTGCCATGAGGAATATCATTCCAATTTCCAAGGCCATGCCTGCCTTGTCATGTGTTTGTTGTTATTGCCTATGCTCTGTTTATTTAATGAACATACCTTTTCCCTTCGTGCACTTGCAACATTACCTGAAATCTGAAAACACCCCATCACTTATCTGATGTAGCCACATCTAGGGTGGAAGTGACAGGACTGTACTGATCCAAGTGCAGTGTTGACATAAACAGGTGGGAGGAATTTCAGCCAAAGAGTTGCAGGATTAAACCCTACTCTTCCAGAAATCTGTCAGGGATTTTTAGTGTTCCATAGAAAGGAAATAAAATGCTTCTTTCAAAAACCTTCCTTAGAAAACCAAACACTGTGGAAATCATGGGCAGGGTTTTTTTGTAAGATCATGTGAAAACTACACCACAGAATTCCCCACCACAAGGGTGGTCACTGCCAAACACAGCAGTGTCACAGAGGGTAGTGAGGTTTGGAAGGAGCTAGAGGCTGCTGTGCTGTAAGTATTCATAATCCCATGGGCTTTTCAGTTAGATATATGAATTTCCCTCACTGCCTCTCTTCCTTTTCATCGTAGTGGGTTTGATTTTGAAGTTCTTCTGTATTCATTAAAAAAAAAGGTAAACTTGTAAAGTATACAGATCTCAAGCAGGAAGACTTAATAAGAAGCTCAAGGAATGACTAAGTTGAAAATACCAAAGCTGGTTATTTTTAAACATGAATGGATAATACGTTTTCTGTTTTGTTTCCAAACTTCAATACTAAGCAATCATATACTTATAAAGCCACTCCACTCAATCCAAATCCTCTTAAGAACAAAGAGAGCTGTTTATTTTTATAGCTTGGAATTAATCTGCCCTTTATATACTAGGCATAAGGCCCATGGGCATTTCAAGGTTTCCAAGAAGTATTTACTTTTCACTGCTGGAAAGACTTTAATAATTCAATAATAAAGCAATGAAGGATGTATGAAAAACTCAAGGAGTGTAAACTGCAGGTATTAGGCTGAACTCTGTAGTAAGTGCTGAAATCCAAAGAGTATTGAAAGTACACTGAGTTAGAGAAGTGAAGATAGTACAAAAGATAACTGGAAAACAAACTAATAAAAGTACTGTACTTGCAAGAGGAATCAAGAAAAATTGTAACCAATGTGTGTTCTGTATTTTGTAGTACTGTGGAATCCTGTGAGCTTGAAAGACTAATTTTCAGAGCTTCCATGTTCACAATTACAGCTACAGTCAGTAAATGATGTGGATATATAACAACTTTAAAAAGCCGATCCTAAATGGTCCAGTGAGTATAAAGTAAAGACTAAACCCCTG